AAGAACAGCAAACAACTTGTCTTGTCTTTTTGGGCGGGCGGGGGGGGGGGGGGGTGAGGTGTGTGTATGTATGGGTTTTTGTGTATGTATGGTTGCGTGCATGCATGCATGTGTAGTTAACGGCTGTTCTGTAGGAATCGGTGAAATCCGAAAAACGTTAATGGTTGGCGCCCTCAACCTGCATACCTTTGACGTCTTAGGAATTGTACGAATACACATCAGCTTGCACATGCACAAATACCAGAACTGCATACCTTTGACTTTTAGAAAGGGTACGAATGCACCTCGGCTTGCACATGCACAAATACCAGAACTGGTGGTGCAGGGAGATGGTGTTGCACTTAGGTTAGATTTCATAGAGTACAATTGTACCTTGCTGTTACGCAATATCTATATCGTGTGTGTAGGTATAGTATGGATATAAGAATAGCTATATTGTGTGTGTAGGGATAGTATGGATATAAGAATAGCTATATTGTGTGTGTAGAGATAGTATAGATATAAGAATAGCTATATTGTGTGTAGGGATAGTATGGATATAAGAATAGCTATATTGTGTGTGTAGGGATAGTATGGATATAAGAATAGCTATAATTTGTGTGTGTAGAGATAGTATGGGTATAAGAATAGCTATATTGTGTGTGTAGGGATAGTATGGATATAAGAATAGCTATATTGTGTGTGTAGGGATAGTATGGATATAAGAATAGCTTTATTGTGTGTGTAGGGATAGTATGGATATAAGAATATCTATATTGTGTGTGTAGGGATAGTATGGATATAAGAATAGCAATATTGTGTGTATAGGGATAGTATGGATATAAGAATAGCTTTATCGCCTTCTTAGTATTTGACCCCACTAATTTCCCTGATACCTAAGCGGTCAAATATATCGGGTATTTGACTTCTTAGTCAAATACACGATATATTTGACTACTTATATTTGACTCCTTAGAATTTCTTGGACTTAGAAATTTTCTCTCCAACTTAGAAAAAAAAATTTTGAAGAAAGCAGAAATACACAAGATGGGATTTGAACCCACAACCTTGTGAATCTCAGTCACTCTTCCTTACCACCCAGCCACTGTGCTACCGATGCTGAACCTAGTTTAGACAATGATCCTGACTTTCAATGCCGTACAATGCAGTATAGGCTATAGTATAATACTAGAATTACAAGGATATGTCGTATATGAAGCGAAACTATTGCGTGGAGAACACGATAAATAGATTATAGACCTCATAGTTGGTCTATACAGGAAATATAGACCTCGTAAAAGACCTCGGGGGACCTCGGTCTTTTACTCGGTCTATATATCCTGTATAGACCTCCTAACCGGTCTATAATCTATACATATTGTGTGTGTAGGGATAGTATGGATATAAGAATAGCTATATTGTGTGTGTAGGGATAGTATGGATATAAGAATAGCTATATTGTGTGTGTAGGGATAGTATGGATATAAGAATAGCTATATTGTATGTTTAGGGATAGTATGGATATAAGAATAGCTATATTGTGTGTAGAGATAGTATGGATATAAGAATAGCTATATTGTGTGTGTAGGGATAGTATGGATATAATAATAGCTATATTGTGTGTAGAGATAGTATGGATATAAGAATAGCTATATTGTGTGTGTAGGGATAGTATGGATATAAGAATAGCTATATTGTGTGTGTAGAGATAGTATGGATATAAGAATAGCTATATTGTGTGTAGGGATAGTATGGATATAAGAATAGCTATATTGTGTGTGTAGAGATAGTATGGATATAAGAATAGCTATATTGTGTGTGTAGGGATAGTATGGATATAAGAATAGCTATATTGTGTGTGTAGAGATAGTATGGATATAAGAATAGCTATTTTGTGTGTAGGGATAGTATGGATATAAGAATAGCTATACTGTGTGTGTAGGGATAATATGGATACTGTATAGCGGGAAATGTTCGGACGGAAATATTTTCGGACAAAGGCGAATTTCGACATTTCGTACGGATTTTATTTTCGTACAGTGCTGCATGCTAAATGCACTTGTTTGCTTGCGGTACGCATGTATAGTGTACATAACTTCACAGGAACAAATTTTAGTACGGAATTAATTTTAGTACAAAAGAGGGCGTGTACGAAATCGTACGAAAATAAATTCCGTCCGAAAATTTCCTGCTATACAGTATAAGAATAGCTGAGTGGAGGTAAAACTCCTCGGCATCACATTTGACTCGGGCCTCTCCTTCAAGACCCACCTCCACAACACAGCACTCAAGGCGAATTTCCGCCTGGGCTTCCTGCGCAAAGCTGCTCGCGTACTCGATGGTGCTGGTAAACGAACCGTCTACAGAGGTTTTGTGAGGCCAGTCCTACAGTATGTGCCATTGGTATGGATGGGAGCAGCTTCAAGCCATCTGCACCTTCTCGATCGAGTGCAGAGACGCGCCCTCCACATTCTTGGTCCTGATGTCCTCCTCCAGAGTTTGGCAGCAAGGAGATTGGTCGCTGCCCTCAGCTATACGTATAAACCGATGTGTCTGGCAGGTCCACCGTAACTAACGTCGCTGGTCCCCCCACAGCTTCCTACACGAACATGTCCTCGAACTCGGTCCGACCACTCCGTGCGCCCCGAGGCTATAGAAAGTCCTCCCGGCTTCTTCTCCTGATTACCTGCGACGCTGCTTCCCCCACAGCATCATTGACGAGTGGAACAACTTGCCCCCAACTGTGCTGCAGTCTCCGCCACGCCTGACGTCCCTGCAGTCTTTCAAGGGCAATGTGCATCAGCACCTACGACAAAACCGCTGGTATTGGGCTACAGACTCTCTGAAACACCCCATAGATCCACAATCAGCTCCCTCCCCCTCACTTTTCTATTTACATGTGTTTCGTAAGCCTGTCCATGGTGCGCTGGATAGCGCTAACGCCGAGACCCTAGGTCGGCGTCGCTAGTCCCGCCTCACCGGCACAGGCTCCCTGAGAGCCCCTACTAGTAAATTGTCTGTCTTTCTCATTTGTTGTCTCGATCATTATTTTCTTTTGTCTTCTTCTTCTCCTCTCTTTGTTATGGTCTATCAGTAGGAGGTGCATTCTGTAAAAAGAAAAAAGAAAAAAAAGCTATATTTTGTGTGCATGGATAGTATCAAGAGTACATAACCCCCAAGAGTGTGCAACTCCAGCTATGGGGTCTGCGACGACAGAACTTCACATCACGTGATGAACCCGTACACATTATTTGCACTCTGTGCATGATAGATACAGGGTTGTACGCAACCCGGCTTTGGGTACAACTCTCTTGTGGTCACTTTACACTGTTTGCCAGCATAACCTTTTGAACCATGTCACGTGATGTGAAGTTCTGCCGTCGCAGCACAGCATAAAGGTTGTGCAGGCAGCTGCACACTCTTGGGGGTTATGTACTCTTGATAGTATGGATATAAGAATATCTATATTGTGTGTGTAGAGATAGTATGGGTATAAGAATACTTCCTCCGCGTCATCGAAATTGTCGCAGTTTGACTTTTGATATAAAACGGGGTATTTACTCACCAGCACTCGTACCAGAGGCAAGGAATCGGACATAGGCGATAATCATCAGTATAGGGTGACTTCGGGAACTTAGACGCTCTGCAGAGCCTGCGAGCCATTGCCCATGACCGACCCGCATGGCGAGATCTATGCATGAAGATCTGTGCATCGTGATATTCCGACAGGTCCTGAAACAGTCAAACTCAGGAAATAGCACTATTATTATCACTCAGGCTGCAATATTCAATGACATAATTAAAGACATATTCATAAATGACATATCTTCAATACCCATGAGCTACATTGTATATGATAATTATATCATTGTATCATCGTTCTAGCTCAATTTCTTTCCCCTGTCATAGTCCTGTTTATCATGTTCAGCATAAGCGAAGTTGTGGATCATGCTTGCATGGTTGACTCCAACGCGTACATGCAAGTAATAATAATAATAGGGTGACGGCAAAGTTCTATTTTCTGTTATTGGAAGCTGGAATTTTTGAACTAGACGCAATTTCTTCGCTGATGTCGCTGCGATGGTAATTTCGACTCGCTGAGATCAGTCAGGCGTTGCAGCCTGCACATTTCTCGTGCTTATGGCCATTCACTCAAGCCTCATCACTGTTTTACCTCAGCTGGGGTGAGAATGACTTCGTGGAGAAACATCGAGGGGTCAGCAAACTAAATGCCTGCAACAGCAATAAAATTTGTCGCTCTGGCTGAGACACTCACACTGACTCAGTACATGATTGTACCTGCAAGAGCCATGTAGACTCTACACGTAGTGCTAGGTAGTGATGCACGCGCAGGTTCTAGGTGCCGTACCATGGTATACTAGTGATGCTGAAAAAGAGGGCGCGCTGGACGTGATAGTACACTTACCTGCACGAGCTGTGACCACGCAGCTAAAATAAATGGGCATGCCACGGCTAAAAAAAGTTCATTTCAAGATCGAGGTGATTCCGCCGACGGTAATCAACCGACCTCGCAATGATCGTGTATTCTTACTAGGCTTCGTTGGTGGTGAAGTAGAAATCATCCAGAGCTAGCAGACGACAAGCATACCAGCTCTTGTTCTGTGGAGAACGTCAAAGCGTTTGAGATGAGGCGCGACCAACTTTCAACCTTCCTTGAAATATTTCGGAACGATATTTTGCGTCCATTGACATCAGCGATGACGAGGACTTCATCTCTGCATGAAAACTCTCAGTCCAACTGTCCTGGAACGTTACTTTAGTCTTCAGACTATCATACTGTGTAATAAGTTTTGAATGGCTTAGCTTATGGAGTTGTCAGTAACAAGTGACAAGTCACTAGTCAAACTGCGACAATTTCGATGACGCGGAGGAAGTAGCTATATTGTGTGTGTAGGGATAGTATGGATAGAAGAATAGCTATATTGTGTGTAGGGATAGTATGGATATAAAAAGGTCCCTGCTTGGAATTTGGCTTCGTGTTTTTGTTCACAACCTTAAAGCTCAATCTGACATGCGCAGTGACTTGGAGGGAAAAATCAGCGAAGTGAAGTCATCAGTTACTGCTGTGGAAGGCATTGTCAGAAAGGTGAGTTTTTTGTCACACTAATTTACTTAAACTCGAATAGGTAGCCAATTTAATTATGATAAAAAGGAGAAGAACAAATGTTATGAGTTATGACTAACTTTCCACCAATGTAACCAGATCATATACAATAAGGTCGGGTCGGGTCGGGTCGGGTCAGGTCAGGTCGCCGAATGTCTCAGTACCCCTTGTCAGTTGTGTGCAATTTTGCAGCACTCTCTGACCGTATATGATCTGGTTACATTGGTGGACAGTTAGTCATAACTCGTAACATTTTGTCCTTCTCTTTTTACCACACCGTATTATCTCCATTAACCCTTTACCGTTTGTACGTACACATTTCGACCGCTCGCGGTCGATGACTTCTATGTCCACAGCGCTGGACTGGTTCACCGCAGAGCGCTGGGATTTCCCTACTTGTAGCCAAGATGTACGCCCAGAGGGTGCCAACACTTTTTTTGTGTGATGCAATATAAAAATCGCGGAATACGCGACTTGATGCGCTTTGGGAAAAGGGCCTGCGACTTTTGGTATTGCCTGAAGATGTTTTCGACTTTTGCTTGAGCTGGCCTCGCGACTGTCTGTCCTGCCGTGCAAGCCATGGACACGGAGCAAGCTCTTTCGCTTCTGGAGACCCTTCCTGACGACCCTGATGATCTCAGGGTCGTGGGTCGATCAATAGTCGGGCGCCAATGTTGAGTAGGAACAAGGACAACTGAGAACATCTTCTCCAGACATTACAACGGACAACGGAGGACATCTTCTCCAGACATTACAACGGACAACGGGCCTGTACAAGTATTTTTCTTATACTTTTGTTAGGTACCTCCTCCCGTACAATCTTACCTACAACCTTTCCTAAGCTGGCCGGCCTGCATGCACCCGTACTACGTCATACTCACCTTTCTTTCTGTTGGCCTGGGTAGCTACTTGCGCGCCCATGTTTGCCACAGCTACCCAGGCCCTGTATATCGCGTTGTTTCTCAGTCGATTTCTCTCTCTCTTCAATAATCAAAATGTAGTCGTTTCGTTCGCCTTGGTCTCTTGTGTTGTCGTCTATAATAAATGTCGTTCCCAATACCTTGTTCCCGTTGTACCAGATGGTTTAATTTTTTAAGCCCAGTCTCTCGTAGAAACCCAGTCTCCAATGTAAGCCCAGGGTCAGGAATGGTTGAAAAAATATAAGCCCAACGCTTATAGTGGAGATTCAACATTCACTCCACACAACAACGGATTACGATTGGTTTTTTTGGAGGGATTTCATGCGCCCGAAATTTATTAATCATTCTAATCAAATTTTGAAACATCTGAGAGCAAAGTGATACTGTTCCAAGACAATGATCAGGGAACAAGAGAATAGTGATGAGGTGAGACACATTTTTTAAGTCGTGGGCCGCGGTCACCCTGGGCAACCCGGTGCCCGGCCACCTCTGCCGGCATTTTGCGATTGACCGCCAACCCCACATGCCTCCAAGAAAGGGAGTGGGTGGCCGCGGACGCAGGGCCGTAACTTGAATGCAACTTAGGCACATGAACCCCATGAAGCTTCGAACTGCTCTCTACGCTAGCTCTGTCTGCTGATAAGCTGGCGTGCCTGACGGGACACGAACGTACGCCTTGTACGCAGAGCTTGACCAGCGCCCTGCCGCTTGAATTTGCCACTCTGGGGCCTGTCGTTCGGCCATGGCCTAGCACCACTGATCCCCAGAGAATGGTTTGAAACACCTGGGCCGAGAGCCCTCTTGAGAATGTCGTTCACGACGCGCGGGGGTAGGTGGCGCCCTTCGCGGAAGGCAAAGAATGGGGCACCTGTATCCACCCACTCCCTGGCACTTATGTAGGCAGCGACTGAACACACAGGGCAGGTTGTGGGATAGCTGCTTGCGTACAGTAAGACTGTGCCACCAGCGCCCGACTGTGCCGTCTTCGTTACCCCTAGGGTGATCATGACCTTCTCCTCCGAGAGGGCGACATGGCTCCTCTGAAGAGTCCTGTGAGTATCTACCGTTGTTGGTGATGGCGCCGTGTACTCGCTCACACGCATGAGCCCGTGGAAAGCTGTGAATACTGCTGCCAAGAGCATGGCCTTGTCTTGCGGTGCATAATGCGAGAACTCCAGAAATCCGCGGATAGCCTTGAGGTCGTTGGGTGTCACCGCACGTCTGGATGACGGAGGCACAGGCATTGGCCTGGACGTCAGCTTGTCACGGTCGATGCCCTTCAGCAAGGCTAGTATCCTGGGTGCTCTGAGCAGATCCACCGGACCATCATTCAATACGAAGTGGTGGCGGACGGCTGGTAGGTATACACTGATTGTCTTACCAGACAGTGACGCGGACAGTGACGTCATGAAAAGAACTATATCATTGACCGTCGGTGCCAGATGCCTGAAGCGGAGCTGCTGGGCAAACTGAATGTAGGACCTGACTCCAGGGCTGTAGGTCTGGTGTGTCTGGAGCACCACCGATTGGGCCAGGAGCCAGCTGGCTTGAGGGTTGAGTATCTCCCACCTGGTGGTGGCTGGAGGTGAATGATGTCGACCCCACCAATCTGCAATGTGGGGACACGGCAGCAGCACCAAACACAGTGGATAATAAAATAAGCAGTTAAGCCAGTACGAAGAGCAAAACATGACCTAACCATCGCATCGCTGTGCCCAGCTACAATGACTTTGAAGGCGAACTAACTGGCTGCTTGCGATACATATTTATTTGCCGAAGCATCCCGGTATTAATGCGCCGGTTTGGACGCGTTTGAGCATCCCGGTGCTCGCCTTACAATCATCAGCGTCCGTCGCCAGTTTGCGTATTTAGAGCATCCTGGTGCCAGCTATACTAAATGTTGAAACGTTCTCCATTTGTTAGTGTTTGTCTTCGTTTAACATGTATATTACTCAGTATGTCGTGATTGGACACTGTTCGGTTATTCTCACCTTGTGCGTTTCACTATTTGTAACGTGCCTCCTCTGCTTCAGTTTTCGTTTTATCTCTCTGGCAGGGGCAGCCACCACCCGTCTGGTGGGTGCCAGCATCCTCCGGCAGTTGCGCTGGGACTCTACGATACATTCTTGTTCTCCGATAATTAGAAATCTGCCTTTCTAGTTCTTCGCTGTTTGAAATATTATTAAATTTTATTTGTGCTGTTTCTTGCGGCACTCGCTTTTGTGTTGATTTGACCTTTTTTGCATGTCCTCGTGAGTACAGATGACATCATGCATTATTTTCTGTCACGTGTTTTGCTTTGCGATTGTCGTTCAAGATGTTTGAACTGCGCCCGCTGGCCGATTTTCTTTGCTTGCTCTTTTCTTTGCCAGTCAAGCATGGGGACGCTACGGTGTCATCCTCCTTGGCTGTGTGTCCGGTACGGGACCGGGTACGTGCGTCCCCAGCTCTTCGTTATTTGATTGTTTTGAGTTGGATTCTTCAATGGTGTTTTGAGAACATGTTTGGTAATACAGTCTTCTAAATAGATCGATGCCTCCTTTGGTTGTGTCTGATGTCAGTGTGGGTTTGCGAGGGAACCGGTGAAACATTTGGTCCTTCGAGCCGGATCCAACAGGTTTCGACTAGTAGTGTCAGCGGTGGTAATGGCGTTTCCGCCACCACCAGAGTTTGTGACTAGTAGTTTTACGCCACGCCATTATGGTACGAGCGTGGGTGAAACTCCTGTTGAGGAACTTGAGGACCGCTGGAAAGAGTTGATTTGTCGCAGAACAAACCTCCGTAGCCGCCACACGCGGATCAGTAACCGCTTGCAAACACTGATTGCTTGCTCGTCGCCGTCTCGACGATATTTGCAGCCTGATGTTCCTGAATTAGAATTTGTCGATCAGAGCTGAATTCGGTTTTAGAAATTATGCGCAGCATGTTGGACTCCCAAGAGAGTGAGCAACTGCTCAATGAGTTGGACGAGTGGGAGGCGAAGTTTGATAAGGAGAGTGTTGGTGTGATGGCTGCTGCTGAGGCGATCTTGGATTCGCCTGTTGAGTCGGTTTCTGGCCAAGTGGCATCAGGCCAACAATCAGCAGTCGCAGAACAGGTTACCCCTGTGCCACCATTAACACCACCACACTTGCGGCCTGGGCCACCTATACCAGCACCACGCACACGGCCAAGACCACCACACATGCGGCCTGTGCCACCTACCGTATTTTACCGGTTGTAAGTCGACCCCGGTTATAAGTCGACCCCCCTATCTGGAGGTCTCAATTCTGCGTTTTAAAGTTTTCACCCAAAGAAGCACTATTAACCACCTCCTGCTACTAACACATCAACAAATCATGTAAACATTCCTTATTGGAGGATATAACGTCCCAATCCTTGAAAAAGGCCAATAAACTGGCAAAATGTGTAAACATGGTGCACTCCTGCTTGCAGTGCAGGTCATTTTTTGTAAGATACTGATAGTTCCCGGTTATAAGTCGAATCCCGGTTGTAAGTCGACCCCCACCCTTTCTCCTTCTATTTTAAGTCGTAAAAGACTTACAACCGGAAAAATACGGTATACCAGCACCACGCACACGGACAACACCACCGCACATGCGGCCTGGGCCACCTATACCAGCACCATGCACACAGCCAACACCACAACACTTGCGGCCTGGGCCACCTATACCAGCACCACGCACACGGCCAACACCACCACCAAAGCCAAGTAGTCTGAGCAGTAGACTAAGCGTGACGTCAGTTGGTTATAGTGCTCCTGCCAGTAGACTTTCTGAGTGGTCTCCTCTACCGGAATCTGCTGTCGACCCCCACGTTAGCGATTGGCTTGCCAGTATGCAACGGCCACATGGAGTAAGCGCTTTTCGCCATCTGAAGCCACTAGAGCTGCCGAAATTTAGTGGCAGGACCCAGCAGTTGGTACGTTGGAAAGAAACATTTTTTTAAAAGCGCCTCGTGGACGAGGACTGCTTTGTCTCTGACGAATATAAACTAGCACGACTGAAGGAGGCGCTGCAGGGTAGCTCGGCCGAAGACATTATCGCGGATATGTTCGACGGT